CTCTTTACACGCCGATCTTCGTCCAGGATGCGAGCAATCAACTCCGCGGAGTCCTTCAAGCCCTTCTGATAGTCGAGCGTCGCAGTGAAGGTATTCCAGGACTCCGGAAGTGCGGTAAGGATCGAGATGCAGAACTCTTCGTCCGAGACCGTTTGCTGAAGCGTCAGCAGGTCATCCCGGTAACCCGTCATCTGTCGAATGAACTCTTCGACGTCTTGGTCTTCGGTGCACACCGCGCGGAACATCTTGCGGCGTGCTTGGACGATCGCGAGGACGCCCTGCGCCTCGTACATCGTCTCCAGCTTCTTCCACGCGTCGTGACTTGTCTGGGCGGCCTTCACGTAGATCAAGATCTTGTCGGCCACCCTTAGTCGTATCGCGGTGAGTGCTCGTCGATCCTTCGATCTCCATTCTTTAATCGTCTTCTCTATCTCGGCTTTTGCTTCCGCCGTCGTGTCCGGGCTTGGCGGCGACGGGCAGGAAAGCTCGCCCGAGACATAATCCCAGAGATCCGCGTCATCGAGGATGTCCGACAGGCGAACTTTCCAGGTCTGCCAATTCTCGGCGCCGGTCAGGGCCTCGATCTTGAAACGGAGTGCATCGGTCATAGTGGGAGGATGTGGAGGGCGAGTTCAAAATGAAGCAGAGATTCTCGGGGGTTCAATAAGGTGCGTCGTCGTCGTCAGAGCGAGGCGGGGCTCATAACCTGTTGTTGAAGGTAGACTTCGCACCGCGAGTGGGAATGAGATGAGAGGATGATATTAGAGGGCTCAGAGCGAGCCCTATATATACTACGTAGACACATTTCCACTCGTGTACACTAGGTGGCGAAACAAAGCGGCGAGGCGAAAGGAAACAAAGTGTCGGCTAAGGCCCGACAAAGCGAAAGGTCCAAACGACCGTCCAAGTGGCGGTCGCGTCAAAGCGATGTAGGCAACGCGTGGCGCGAGCGGCGACGCTTGCCTCTCGTTCGTGCAAAGCGCGAACTCCAACATCAACCTCTGTCATTAATTCAGCAGCTATTTGACAGCATATATCCACCTTTGCGGCGATGAAAGTTGTGCTAGAGGTGAGCCGTGACAACTCTGCAAGCAATCAAGCAATAGCTTCTGCCAATGACCCAATACTTGGGCTAATTACTGATGCGCTATATAATCAGGAAATTTCTAAGATTTATGATGCCGTCAGGACAGGGAATCATTGTGAAAACAAGTGCGGGTCCCCGGGTGCGAGTGTCCATGGCAGGATGCCCGAAGGTCAATCGCGTGAGGTATGTACATCGAAATCTACGGTATGTATGCCTGACCCCTCTCCCCTATATTCTACAAGCGCAATCCTTGCCCAGCTTGCGAGCTCCTTTTCAGAATGTGTGGAACAACAAGGGGAAGGTCGGTCGGCGAGCGCCAGTATTCATAGGCATGCGAACATAATAACCAATATCAGACTACGAGAGATTCCACTTAGTGCGTATTTCGTCCAACCAGCTGTTACAGTCGACTTGACCCGTTGCCATCATTGTATTGAATATGCTTTCGCTACATAGTAGTATTTGGCCGCAGGCATACCACCAACTGTACCAGCTCCAGGATGCGGACCGTTGGAGTCGAGCACGATCTGTCAGTACATTCTCATATTCTCATCTCATCTGCTCATCCGAACCGGTAAAGCTTGACAGTGTCATGCTGCATGAACTTGCGAGTTCTTCAGCTAATACATTGCCTGGACTTTATGAAACCGAATCGAACTGGCCAATGAGCGCCGAGCCGTCCGGTCCGGGATTCTCACCCCCACCTGAGCCAGAGGCAGCACGCGATGCTGGGGCGTCTTGCAGGGTGTTCTATTAGGTTCGTTTCTTGCGACCTTCTTTCATTCCACCCTAATTGTCTCCTGGACCGCCACCCCAACCGCCTCTACTATCAAGCCTCGAGACCCCCACTTCTGCGACGCTCTCGCTGATACCCAGTTGTTCGATCCTGGTGGTGGATTCCTCGCTCGCCGGTCATTTCAGTCGCCACAGTACCTTACTCGATACGCGTCACATCAAACGACGGCCATCTCATTGCATCGGCTTTGTCTTGTTATCTCGGACGTTGTTTCCGCGTCGCTATTCGCCTAAATTATGGTAGGTTGGCCGTCTCAAAGCTATCCTCGCTCTTCCTCTGTCGAATCCGCCATGGCCACCCCTACTCTCCGCCGTACCCATAGAAGACACACTGCGGACGAAGAGCCCACTCCACGCTTCAGCAACATGTGCACCTCAGTGCTCGGTTCTCCCTTCCTCACCACGTCCGACCTGCCTCCTGAATCCGACGGTCCTCGCGCGTCGACCTCTACCAGCGCAGCGTTCACGCTGGCGTACTCCAACATCGAGATGGAGCCCGTCGATGGCGCAGATGTCTCTGTCCCTCGCGATCTGACCGTCACGCGCCCGCCATCGCCCTCACCGAGCTTCCGCACGGACACGTACTCTGTCATCAGCTGGAACGCGGACCGTTATCCGCACCCTTACATGGAGAACACGCCGCTCTGCGGGCCTTCCGGCCGCCGCACTGTCAACGGATACTACCCGTACGCCTCGACCTACTATCCGAACGGCAGCGGTGCGTCACCCATGAAGCCATCGCGCAGCCTCTCGCTGGGCATCATACCGCGCATCTGGGACGCCCTCCGGGAAGGATCCCCTGGGCGGAAGGGCAAACGTCGCCCCGGTCTGCCCACTACATCAATCTGGCGCTACGGCAGCGTCACGGACAGCGAGTACATCGATTACCTGAATCTGCCGCCGCTGGATGGCGAGGAGGGCGAGCTGATTGATGACGAGGCATGCTTCATCGACGCTACGCGGATCACTGGTACTGGTGAGTCCCTTCACTCCATGGTCCGGCTGTGCTCGCAGTGGATGTCCTTGCTGGCTCCTGCACGAACACCGCCAAATCCAACCACTGCCACGTGCCCGATGCATTACCGACGTCTTTAATGATCTGCTTGCCCTTGCGACGACGTGCTCTTCCGGGACCGTGCTCTTCATTTCGTGCATTCATTCATTTCGGTAGCGAGCTGGTCTAAAACTGACCACGTACTGACTGTCGTCATCGCCTTCTCTAGATATCGTAGGTCTGCTGCCTCCAGAGATCGCGCTCCACCTATTGTCATTCCTTGACCTGCAAGCTGTGCTTGCGTGCCTCCGCGTCAGCAGGTATGTGCACGCACCGCGTGCCGCTGCAGTGCCATCCTGATGTGCTCTACAGGACGTGGAATCGCCTCTGCCGAGACAACTCCATCTGGCGCTCGCAGTTTGTACGGCGCCAGCCAGATGGCTGGGACGTTGACCTCCGGCGGGCACCCCCGGCGCCTTTGTCTGCGTCAAAATCGTGGCTTCCGGCGCCGCTAGAGCTGGAGTGGTACGAGATGTGCCGGACGAGGGCGGAACTGGACCGACGGTGGAGTGCGAGCGAGGGGGCCGACGGCGCACCCGCTTGGGAGCCCAAGGCGAAGCGGCTCAGCGGGCACATGGACAGCGTCTACTGTCTGGAGTTCGACTCGAGGAGGATCGTCACCGGCTCGCGGGACCGCACGATCAAGGTGTGGAGTCTGACGACGGGGCGCTGTCTGGCGACCTTCACTGGCCATCGGGGGAGCGTCCTCTGTCTCAAGTTTGACAAGGACTGGGACTTCCCGACAGGGGAAGAGGACGAATGGGAGGACGGGAGTGAGTGGAAGCATGGCTTCATGGTGAGCGGCTCGAGCGACTGCTCCGTGTGCGTGTGGGATCTCTGTACGCGTTCACCGGTGGCTGGCGAGGATGGCCAGGTGAAGGCAGAGATTGCGGCGGTGTTGAGGGGCCACACTGGCGGTGTCCTGGACCTGAGGATCGACTCAAGATGGATCGTAAGCTGGTAAGCGCTCTACCACTACCCTCCCTTGCAAGCCGCTCAAGTTCTGTTCAGCTCGAAGGATGCACTGATCCGTGTCTGGGACCGCCGCACACTGCAGCTGCACTGCACATTCCGTGGCCACGAGGGCCCTGTGAACGCAGTCGGGCTGCAGGACAACAAGGTCGCGAGCGCGAGTGGAGACGGGAGAATGATGCTGTGGGACATCATCTCTGGAGAGCGACTCCGCACATTTGAGGGGCACGACCGTGGCCTTGCTTGCATCGAGTTCAAGGACGACTTCATTATCTCCGGCTCGAACGACTGCAAGATCAAAGTGTGGCAGGCATCGACGGGCGCGTGCCTGCGCACGCTCGCTGGACATGACCTGCTGGTGCGCGCGCTGTCGTTCGACCCGAGGAGCGGACTACTAGTGAGCGCCAGCTACGACAAGACGGTGAAGGTGTGGGATTGGCGGACGGGGAAGATGTTGCGCGAGTTCCGCAACTGCCACAGCAGCCACATATTCGACGTGAAGTTTGATTTCCGCCGTATTGTGAGGTGAGTGTACTCTGAGGTTCCGTCGTACGCGCTGTGTTGCTGATGGCCGGTTGGCGTGTTCAGCACTTCGCATGACCAAAAGATCATTGTACTCGACTTCGCCGAAGGTCTGGACGTCTCAATGTTTGTGTGAACGACGTGTGAACGAATACCCTCCGATTGCATGACTCCCCCGAAAACCCGTATTTATGTATCGACTATCATCTCTAGCTCTACCTGGTTGCGATGCCCAACCCGCGACTGCCGATCGTTTCATTTTGCACCTGTTGTGTATTCCTGTCGTTTCTATTCTCGTACATAGTTTTTTGTTCCGCCTTGCATTCGCTTTCTGCATATACCCCCGCTTTCTTGGACCTCGCACATATCTAGTGTACATACATCGAAGTTCTGAGTCGCATAGTCGCCGTTGTATCATCACATGTATATTATTCACTAGCTGCAGAAGCACATCCCGGCAAAACACGCAACGTCCTAAATCAATACAAGTGTGTGTATCTTTGATACATAGTCGAGACTGCAGCACTGCACGCGGGCCTAGCAAGAGCTCTACGGAAACACAGGAGGTATCTACGCGCTCGCCCTCGCCGCCATCTTCTGCTTGAGCTTGTTCTGTTAGGTAGTCATGTCAGTAGCAATTCGAAGTGCCCTGGCCTCGTACGCTTCACTCACGTTCACGGAATCCATGTACACGTCTGTGACGACCCAGTGTTCGCGCTTCATCTCCTTTCCATGAATCGCGAGCGCAAGGTCCTTCGTCATCACACCGTCAATGTCGATGACCTCCACGCAGGCCTTCTCGAGGTCCTCGCAGAACGCCTTCAGGTTCTCGTTCCCGTCGAGGGTCGCGCGGTGCTTGAGGCCGCGCGTCCACGCGAAGATGGACGCGACGGGGTTCGTGGACGTCTCGTTGCCCTTCTGGAACTCGCGGTAGTGGCGCGTGACGGTGCCGTGCGCGGCCTCGGACTCGATCGTCTGCCCGTCGGGCGTGATCAGCTCGGAGGTCATCATGCCCAGCGAGCCGAAGCCCTGCGCGAGAATGTCGGACTGCACGTCGCCGTCGTAGTTCTTGCACGCCCAGACGAACCCGCCGGAGGACTTGATCGCCTGCGCGACCATGTCGTCGATCAGCCGGTGCTCGTAGTAGATGCCGGCCACCTCGAACTGCGATTTGTATGTGCTGTGCGGGGTCAGACGGTGCGGCGGGAGGGCGTGTCTGAGGGGCTCACCTTTCGTAGATGTCCTGGAAGATGTCCTTGAAGCGGCCGTCGTACTTCTTCATGATCGTGTTCTTCGTCGACATGAACTGTTAACAGGGATCAGCGACTGAAGCCTAGATGATTAGTTTCAAATCTGTACAAGGGGCATCTTCTTGGCGAGCGCCATTTTGAAGGACGAGTGCGCGAACCCTGTAATGGACTGTCCGGCGGGCCCGTTAACAGCAGCGGTGGTCGTCACAACGAGAAGGCCGTACATCGTCGGTGTTGTACATGCTCATCGCGACACCCTTTCCCTTGAAGTCATACACATCCATGACCGTCGGCTTTCCACCATCTGCAGGCGAATACACGAGCTGCAGCTTTCCCGGGCCTGGCGCAACAAAGTCCGTCGAGCGGTACTGGTCACCGAACGCATGACGCCCAATGACAATCGGGTTCTTCCAGCCAGGGATGGGTTTAGGGATGCTCTTCAGGATGATGGGCTCTCGGAAGACCGTGCCGCCGAGGATGTTGCGGATCGTCCCGTTGGGGCTCTTCCACATCTGCTTGAGGGTGAACTCCTTCACCCGCGCCTCGTCCGGCGTGATCGTCGCGCACTTGATGCCCACATTGTACTTGAGGATCGCCTCGGCCGACTCGACTGTGACCTGGTCATTCGTCTGCAAGCGTGCGGGGGGTGGACGGGTGAGGAGGGCGTAGGGCAGGGGTAACGGATGCACGTACCGCGTCTCGCTGCTCGAGACCGAGGTCGAAGTATTTGATGTCCAGTTGGACATATGGCAGAATGAGCTGGACCACGCCGTCAGAACGAGGGACCCTCTCTGTAATGAACGCTGCTGCGCACCTCCTCCCTGATTTTCTTCCAGATAATTCTCGTCATCTCATCCCCGTCCAATTCCACCACCGGGTTCTTGACCACAATTTTCTCTTCTGTATGTGCGTCCCAGGTTGCCGGCGGGCAGGATTATTGCAACGCATCTCGTGCAGATGGTGGTTAGGGAGTGAAGTCGAATTGGTGATAACCCGTGGCGGCAGATACAGAAATGTCGTGCGATGGCTGTCAGCGCGTTATCCTCGCTTCAGACACGACGTCCACTCACGCATTCTGGACAAGCTGCTCGTGAAACCTCGCCGCAGCAAAGACGAAACTGTCGACCGCCTCGCGAACCCCGCGTACGAGACGGACCTGGGCCACATTGCACTCATCTTGGAGCCGGTTATGAGGGTAGACGCAGCCCCGAAGTTGCGGTACAGGTACGAGCTCAGTGGCGCGAAATGTTTGCGGGTCGATGGAATAGCCTGCACGTCGAGTCAGCCAAGCTGCCTCAGGACTATATACCCGGGCGTTATCCAAGTCGTGCTTCGCAACCACGGAAGGATTCATCGGCCTTGCGTCCGAAGAATAGGCTCAGACGTCGGCAACCCTCACGGTGTACCCTCACGTGGACACGGTACGCATGCCAGGAGCGGCCCAGGACAGCCTGCAGACTCGTCTGCAGGTCCGGGGCCAGTCCGGGGCCCCGCATCTGAGTTGATACGTTCTCAGGCTAAGACAGGCTTCCTTACCCACATCAAGGTGCCTGCACGGATATAGCGGATCGAGGGAAACTGGCGACCACAAGTATTGCTCTCGGCCGGCTTCAAGTTGTGAAACACTCGGATACCTCATGAACGCTGACCGGCAGGGTTTTCCAAGCAGCTGGTTTCTCACTTGCATACAATGGCATACGGAGATATCATATCCCGCCGTACGGCCTCCGCTGTGATAACTCGTTGTGACTAGCCGACTTCGATGGGAGATGCAGCGTCCGAACTTCGGTGTTGCTCCGGCGAGATGTATAACATCGCATAAGCGCCCACCCTACGAACTGTTAGGCGCCAGACCTACTTCGCTACTTGCTACGGTGTTGTATGATTCCTTCACTAAGGGTAGTAGAATTTCGAAAGACATAACCAGATTTGATCACCGAGAATGAGGTTCCAACGTACAATACAAGGCTTCTTACATGAGCCCAATTAGCAGGATCATCCATGCGACTAAAGTCCTAGTACTAGTATGTGCTTTAGGTTTTGCCTCCCCTTCGACTGCAATGCTACGCCGCCTGGCGAGCGGTGGCGTGGCACTTTTGCAACATCGTTGCATAGGCCCCGCAGGGAGGAGGCTGCGTGTTCAACGTTGTCAGCGTTCAAACGTTCAAGCTCAAGCTCAAGCTCAAGGGCGTGTTATTACTGTTAACTCTGTCTGTCGATAGCTGTGACTCCATGGTCGTTGGCCGCGAAGCCTCCGAGTCAAGTTCTGTTCACTCATCTCCTCGGGATGCTGGTGAGCCAGGTAGGTTCTACAAGTTTGTGCTAGTTGTAATCTGCTGACGCACAGTAGTAACTGACGAGATGGACCAAGACTCCGGCCGCCTGGCATCGAGACCTCAAGACCGAGTGTCGGAACGCTACACAGGCTGAAGGGACGACAGAGGTCAAGGACAGATGCTCGGAGACGACAAAGCTCTGCCAGAGTGAAAGCTAGGAGACACTATAGAGTTGCGCGACGGATACTGTGCGACTTGCTGAACCCTCGAAGATTTGTGTCGCTACGTGCAGTACGACATTCGCCGGGGGATGATACCTAGTACTCACATCTTGTTCCGACCTGTTATGTAGCCGGACTCAAGTATGCGGCGGACTCCGATGGGCTAAGGGCTATTTTGAGCGGTGTTCGAAGCACAGGAAATGTTCTTATACTCACAGCAAGCGAATAGTGTGGTTTGCAGTCAGCGCGAAGAGGTCCAGACATACGATTCGTGACCTGCTCGTGACCTGCCCGCGTTCATCTTGAGCCTGTCTACAGTTCCAAATCTTGCAGAGTGCACGCTCGGGTCTCGATTGCCTTTATATGGCCACGAAGAGACGGTCGAGGAGTGGTTGTCGGCTACAAAAGGCGCGTCAGGCCCTAGCCCGCTTTGTAGCGACAAGGACGACGCGTCAATTTCGAGAGGAAGACTGCCAGTGGGGAGGTATCATATGATTATAGTCGCAGGCATCGAGAGCCTGAGTGCGTCGCGTATGGTTGACGGAGGACCCGCATCTACAGGTGCGGCCCTCGCGTCGAGAACTCCTAGCGCATGGAAACGAGAGGCAGGTGACGAGAGTCTTCGCCGGGCATTCAGCCGGACGCACAATAGCCCTGGCCCCTTCCATCGTGCGCCCGCGCACGCAAGCCCAGATGCGAGGCCTGTCTAGCATAGTGGCGGCTGAGGAGTAGGCCGCAGCCAACGGACCTTCCCTGCCCATCTGCTCAAGCCGTACGTGACGATCATCGGTAGCTCGGCTTAATGACGCTGGCAAGTAAAATGCGATGTCGTGGAGGTGCTGTTGTCAGGACCGGAGGAATCCGATGGTGCGCGACAGGGATCAGGGATAGTCTGGACGAGACTGATACTTGTGACGTGCGTGTGCACGAGTCGAGGTATACCGACGTGCACAGCCATCCGGGTCGATAGGGGTAGTGTGGCTGCTACGCTTGAGTAGCGGACCTGGGCTCGAATCATTTCAACCCTTGAGGAAAACGTAATCGGCGCGCAATTGCTCGTCCGTGATTGAATGAACAAGCTGGTTGTCCTGGTCTATGTCGAACGCCACAAGGGCCAGGACGCTGTCCCATGTGAGGCCGATGCCGTCGCGAGAAGTACCCGCGCTTCCGCGCCGCAGGTACAAGTGAAGCATGGCAAGGCTCCGTGGATCCAGAAAGCGCACGGTCTGGTATTCGGTCACAGCGGCTCCAGTTGCATGTCGGGAGCCGTCGGGACGATGATCCACAGGGAAGGAGCGAGTGCCCTTCTGCGTGAGCGGGACGTATCGCACCAAATAAGCAAGATCGAAGGGATTCGAGTCGCCCAGAGTCAACGGTACAAGGTGCTGAACCATGTCCGAAGTGGCCAGAAATATTATGTTGTACTGATCCACAATGAAGTGCGTGGGTGCGTGGTTCCGGAAATAAGGGTCAGACGTATGACACACATCAACGCAGGTGCATCTAGGAAGACCCGCAGTGACAAGTATATCCACCGCCCTAGACAGGTATTCCTCTGCAACGATGAAACCGGCCATCTGGCAGTGGGAAGGGATAAATCAACGAAGGCACACAGATTGACCTTGCAACGGACGTACCCTCGACACTTGATTCGCACCCTGATACGATAAACATGGTCTCCACAGACCACACAAGGTACCGATGCCGCTTCTAGGGCCCGGGTGGCAGCCGCTGTCAGACCCCACGGGTAGTCATATTCGGACAGCGGTAGAGGGAGGACAGGCAATAGGCGGCTTGTAATTGCGCGATGAATGCGTGCAAGGGCGTCCACGCCTTGCTCTCTGACTCACCTGGAACATTGTGAGCGATACCACATAAGAAGCCGCCCTACATAAAAACGCGAGATAAAGATCGCCATTACCCTGTGTTTCGTCAGCTCTGTGGGTCGGCATCATAGCGCAAGCTGGCGTCACCTGTATAGTTCGGAGAAGAGTCTCCTAGACAGCCTAGATAGCATTGGGTAAATAAGGACGAGGTGTTTCTTGATGGTTGAAAACAACAGTGTTCGTGCGAGCTTGTTCTCAGCACTTCAAGTTGGAGTCAGATTTCGTGTAAAAAGTGGAAGTAAGGCTGAGGTCGAGTTATAACGCCCCCGCCACATGTGCACAGAACCACTCGTGGATACCCGGGCCGCGATACCGCCGCAGCGCCCTTACTGACCGTAGGTCGTTCTTTGCCTTATGGATGTCACTTTCGACTATGTATCCGCCGTCGGTGGTGTGGGCTACAACAAGGAGGGGGATATGTCAGGATTCGACCGTGACACTGGGAAAGTACTCCGATTGTTGTTGCTTTCATGTGAAGCGAAAGTAGCGACCCAGGAGCACTGCACCATACGCAGTGAGTGACTCAGTGAATTTCAGATGGTGTGGGGGCGCGCTGATAATTTGTGCGTTAGGTGAAAACCATGATCACCGGAGTGCTCTTGGAATTGGCAGGAAAATGGAAGCATCACTTCCGATGATAGTGAATCCTATCCGGGTGCGCGCACGACTAGGCATTTGGTGCACTCAATCCTAGCCTCGACGCCTGCATCAGTAAGGGAGCGATAACTTCAACGTCCGATTCGACTCACAGCAGTCGTGTCCATCCAAGGCTATGTTGCCATACCCAATCCCACAGAACCCAATCTCTCCTGTGAACGCGTGAACGCGCGCGCCCAGACGCGCCCCAAATACCAACGCTTCCCCCTCTCCACCGCCTCCAGCTACTCTGCTGGCTCATTTCACTCGCCACGCACACGCTCAGCCTCCTGCGCGACGCGCTAGGCGATTCGGGCACGTATGCGTGGGCGAGCGGCCAGATGTAGTCGGGACAGGACGCCCACGGAGGGTCGTTTCCAGCGTGCGGTGGTGGGGGATGCTCGCAGCTCGCGAGGTCGGGACGCGTGCGTGCTGAGTCCGGTTATGAACAAGATCGTCACCATGGAGTGTAATCGTGACGGGGCACAGACGATAGCCTTCCGAGGTATCCTGTTTCCGTGATAATGTCGTCCTAGAGATAGCTTCGACGGCCTGTGCACAGATCACAGTCTGCTTTTGCTATATATCGGGTTCCTCTTCTGAACAGTTGTTACCAGTCCACGACGGTGCCAGGGTCCCATTAAGTGCGACACCCCACTGGAGAACCTCTGCGCGGCTATGGCCACCGTTCCCTCGGAGTTGAAGAAATCCCAGGCACTGTACTCCATGTCAAAAGAGAATTCGACCGAGTCCAGGTTCTTGAAGACCGGCTCTTGCATCGCACGGTGAACGGAGAGCAATGCCGGCGACTCCAACTTCGCGTAGAAAAGACGAGGTTGGGCGCTGAGCGGGAAGAACTTCCCAGTAAGTTGTATGGCTTGATGGACCTTGATAGACCGCAGGGCGGGGCTGCGCACTGTCATTAACATCGCTTGAAGTTCCAATGCCACGGTATGCCATTTGTCGCGGGGGTCCTCGTCCAATGTACACGCGCGCAACTCGAACCGTATCGTATGCAGATTGGGACTGTATGCGAACGTGCAGTGCGTGTTGATGCTATGCGCAAGCAGCGGGACGTTGTGTTGAGAGTATGCACTGGCACCGGCGCGGGTTGCCTGAGCGATCGCGGGCCAGAGGAATTCAAGACCGTCTGGTCAAGTGTGCTGCTGTCAGTCTTTGAGAAATGCCCCCGGTCGCTCGAGCACTGACCGTCGGAGTCGAGATCCAGCTCGTGGATAGACAGCAGGTTCCTTCCAGCGACCTCAAGGAGTTCATTCACCTGCAGAGATACGTTGAATGGATTGCGCCAGATAGCCAGATGAGTGAGGTTCGCGCAGGCTGAGGACTCCGCGAGCCATCTGACGAGTGGGACGATGACTGCGGGCGTCAGGCCCCAGCCCAGGACCAACTGTTCCAAGCGTATTCGCGTTGGATGCACAGTAGCAACCGGGCCAGTGTCCGTTTCGAACACGCCGACGCAGAGCTTGAGATGTTTGAGCTGCGGAAATGCACATATGATCCGCCGGAGCTCGCTGAAGCAGCGCAGCGTGAACCGAAACAACTCCAGCGTGGTCACTGCTCTGAAGAGGGGCAGCATATCGAAGAAGCTGACGTGCATGAGTGGGTGCAGCGACATGTGGAACACGAGCCTGCGTACTTGCGGCATGAGTCGTGCAAAGATGAGCGGGACGGCATGCACGGGTACATCGCGCTGCTGTCCGCCCACACGGAGCGCGTTCGTCTGCGCGAAGCGCTCGGCGGCACGGGGGTCCGAGTCGTTGAGGGCGAAAGCGGCGAGGGAGTCGAACGCCACGCGACTGGAGATTGCGATGTCTCTGTAGAGGAGGCGTATGCTCGCCTGGTACCATGCCTTGCAGACTAGCACGCAGCTGCTTAGGCTCCCTTGAGACATCCTGTCCATGAAGAGTTCGACGACTTCGAATGGGATGCGGCCAGAGAGAGCGCGCGACAGACTCGGGCGTATGCGCCTCCTGGATCGCCATTCCTCGTTGGCTCGGTCCCCTTGAGGTGCACCCTTAGCGTGGTCTGGCCAGCCGTAGATAAATTGTAACACTTCCTCGAATGAGGTGGTGTCGGCGAGCTCAGGAGGTGTGGCACCTGCGCATGTTGTGAATCATGATATCATCGACTGGTCAATGCATACAAGGGGTTATACGCACTGGGGATTTCTGGGTCTGTGAATATAGAATTGGCCTTGGACGACATACCTAGTGGTATGGGATGAAAGGCTTTGGGGAGATTACATGTCAGTGAATACCACCGGCATCGATAGAGTTCAGTTGAGCCGTGTGAACGAGACACAAGAGAGCATGACAGAGAATTCGAACTTTCAATCAGAGGGCAGTGCGGCAGAGCGTAAAGCTCACAGCCACTGTCATACAATGTCAAGTTCCATCCATCGTCTATGTATATCATGTATGTCAAATGTCTGTGCGTACATTAGCGACACATATTGTACGCAGGCGGAACACAGACGATTGCACTACAAACGAGCCCAGTCCCCCGTATCAGACTCGTTACAACAGTCTCTTCGATCGACTGCTCTGAACGCCGGCGATGGGGTTCCTCTTCTGAGCAATCGTTACCACTCCATTGTCGGACTTTTGCTGATGGTCGTGCCATGAAGAAAATAGACGTGGCAGTCCGCTGGAGAACCTTTGTGCAGCCGTAGTGACTGTCGCTTTCCAGTCGGAAAACTCCCATGCACTGTACGATAAGTCAAACGAAAACTCAACTGACTGCAGATTTCCAAACTCCGGTAGTTTCATCGCGCCATGGACCGGTAGCTCCTTTCCCAATTTCGCGTAGAAGAGACTGGGTCGAACACTCAGGGAACAGAAGTCCCCAGTGACCAGTAGGTACTGGTGGATTTTGATGGACTGCAATTTGTGACTTCGTACTGTTCTGAGTATGGTGTCCAGCTCTCGTGCGACGCGTGCCACTTATCGTCCAGCACGCACGCTAGTAGTTCGAAGCGTATGGAACGCAAGTCGGGGCTGTGCGCGAAGGGGCAATGCGACTCGCGACCATCTAATTTTGAGCTGCGGGTACATGTCCCAAATCCAGGGGTGCATTTCGAAGGTTTCTAAGCAGGCAGCTGTCAGTCTTCGTCAAGTACACACATCATACAACCACTCACCACCGGGATGGACGCGGAATTCATGCAGTGACAGCAGGTTCTGTCCAACGCCTTCAAGCAGTCCATTCACTTGCAACGATGAATTGAAGGGGCTGTGCCAGACGGCCAAGTGAGCAAGGGTCGTACAGGCCGAAGACTCGGCGAGCCACCTGACGAGAGGAACAACGATCGAAGGTGTCAGTCCCCATCCGAGGACCACGCGTTCCAGACGTATCCCTGATGTACGATTTGGGACGGAAGGGGCCTTTCCCACCCCGCCCAATTTGAGCAGCGGGAACGCACAGATGATACGGCGCAGCTCGCTGGCTGCGTGCGAAAGAAGGTGGGAAGGAGAAGGGGTCGCAGCGACAGGTTGAACACCAGCGTCTGGACCTCCGGCATCATCCGCGCGAGGACGACGGGAACGAGATGTACAGGGGCGTCCTTCCCGTCGATTCGCAGCACGCTCGTTGTCGCGAGCTTCCGCAGAGCACGAGCATCTCTGGATGCGAAGTCGACAAGAGCGTCGAATGCAGTACGAGTGGCGATAGTGATGTTCTTGTAGAGAATACGGACGCTTGCCTGGTACCACGCCCGGCAAACCTGCGCACAGACACCTAGGCCCTCCTGAGACATACAGTCCACGACGAGTTCAACGACTTCGAACGGTATGCGGCTGATTAAAGCACGCGACAGTGCGCGATGCGCGAGAGGCCTCCTAGGCTCCCGTAGCGCTTTGGTGCCGTCCTCCGAACGCGTATCCGTGGTGCTTTCTGGCCAGCCGTGGATGACCTGCAATGCCTCCTCGACCGAGCCCACATCGGCAGGTTCAACCAGCTCAGGCGGAAGGGTCTCTATACACATCGTAAGTCGTGTTATCAGCGGCGACGTGCATACTGAGTACGCACTCGGGACCTCCGGGTCCAAGAAGATGGAATTGTCGTCGACCAACATGCAGAAATTGGGGAAAGAGGGCTAAGGTATCTGAAGTGCCGGGAAGAAGCCATAACGTTGCCATAACGTGCCCTTGATAGGTGGCACTGGGTGAAGTGGGCGCTGAGCGAAACGGGCGCTGGGTGAAATGCACGTACAGTTCATCACCGGCAGATAGAACATCGACGGCACAGCCTACAGCATGGCAGTTCAGATCGTCAGCCTTGGATCATCCAACGCAGGGAACTGGAAGGAAACGTGCTCAATGAAAAATCAATCCGACACCATGTCGACGAAGCACAACGTATATGATACCTGAATATAGAAGGCCGGAGTGCACGACCTTTGACACCGAAATCAGTCCAACGGAAGACTGCTGACCCAAATTCTAGCTAGGAAGGATCTGGACACTCACCAGTACGGCTCTCCAAGAACGGTTCATCTGAAGCGCGGGACGTACGCTACCAACGCGGAGGGAGCTGAGGGAAGGACATTACGGAGATACATAAGAACTAAGCAAACCCCAATAGAGTACAATAGATGTCTAAACCCAGTCCGACAGTAGAGAAAAGATCAGAAAACCAACGAACACAATAACCATAGCGGGACCCGCATGACAGAGGCCAAAAGTGAGAGTCAGAACCAGAAGTGAACGAATGCGAAAAACGAAACTCTAATGCCACACAAGTAGATGCACCGTATCAGAGCTCACGCATGAATCGACTCCGCGTGTCGTTGAGGCAGCGGCGACGGCAGCTTGAAGTGCTTCCCAAGCGGTGTGTTCGGGCGGCTGCGCACCTTCCACCACGCGCCCTTCGCGTCGCGGGGCGACTCCAGCGCATTCAAGTCTGGCGTGCTGCCCACCCCCAGCTTCTCCACGCTGACCTCCACGCGCATCTCGTCACTGCTCCCGCTGCGCGTCGAGCTCCGCGCCACGGAGTACGCGTCGCTCTGGCTGTCGACCGAGCCGATGCTGCCGACGCTGTTCTGCCTCGCCGCGGCGGGGGCGAAATACGTGAAGGGCGAGGGCGCGGGCGACGCGCTCGGGAGCGGGTTGAAGAGCGTCTCGATGAGGTCCTCCGTCGCGCGCAGCCCGGACGCGGACGCGAGCCCGTCTCCATCCGCACGCCCGTCCTCCTGCATGAACGTCTGTGGCCCGGAGTGGTTCGCGTGCGTGAAGTCGTCGAGTTGCCGCGCGATGCTCGTCTGCATAAGGTCGTTGTTTGCGAGCAGGCCCGTTACGGATGCGAGAATCTCCCCTTTGGCCAAGGGCGGAGGGCGATAGTTCTTTGTGCCTCCGATGTGCTCAAGCGTGATGGTGAGCTGATATATGCGTCAGAGTTGCCAATCCGCAGTGGGGCGGAAACACCTACCTTGAGCGTTGCATTGGTCTTGCTCTCGCGGAGTAGGTACCGACGGGTTACAGGCCCTGCGTCAGCGTATTCTGCAAGGTTGAGGTAGACGGCACCCAGGCGAGGCTGTTTGGGGGCGTCCGGATCTCCGGGGACGACCCGCTACAGGTGATCGTCAGCATCCACCCAGAAATGAAACACGAGGCTACGCACCTGCATCACCACGAACTTCACTTCGTTCGGCAACAAATCGCCCGTCTCCCGATTAACGTCCATCTGCAGGACCACGTTCACCTGGTGGCCCCACTTTGCGTTGTAGTTCTGCAGCGGCTGGAAGGGGGTGATCCCACGTGCTACTGCTGTCGTGGTGGATGCAACCGATGTTGCGGATGTCGTCTTGTGCATATCCGCAGGTGTCGCGGTCACCGGAGTAAGGGGCGGCATTGCTGTGTCAGGGGTATACGGCGCGAGGAGATCGAGAGACGACCCGCTTGCGCGGTGGTACATCTCGTCCTCCGTGCCCTCCTCCTGCGGACTGCTCTCATTTCCTTCCTCCTCGTCCTCATCCGCGGGGGTCACCTCGATCGCGAGTCCGAGCTCCGACGCACGCCCTTTGCCCTTCATGTTATCCCTCCCTTTCGACGACCAGGACTGATTCCCGCGCATCCTCGAGAGCAGTCCGGAGGTCTGTACGTTCTTGAACTTCCAGCGCACCGCAAATTGTCCATTAATGAGGGGGACATTGGACAGCTGGTCTATCTCGACGTTAACTTGGAATAGGGCGTGTTTCGGGATGAATTGCCCGAATTGGTTCAGGAGGCCGTGGCCGAGGGCGTGCTGCTGGAGGTCGGATGTCGACGCAGAGGACGTCGAGGCGGCGCTCGGGGTGGAAGTTGTGGGTGAGGACTTCATTGGTTCATGTAACATGGCGAAGAGTGGTGTTCATAAGTCGAGGGAAAGAGAGACATGCCGCCCAGACCGGGGCCGCTGAAGCTGATGGAGACGGAAGCGCTGGATGATGCTGCAAGAGGCTTGGGCTGCACAACCCGTTGAGGACCGGCGCCGACCGCGCAGGCCACCGCTGTCGGAGGTCAATGAAGCTGGGCGAGTCTTGGTTTGCCTTAGTCTCGTATGTAGTACGGGTTGCGTAAGCTGTTTACAGTCGTTTGCATAATGGTTGTCGCATGCGCGCGACGAGAATCTTGTTTGGACCTCTTTGGACCGGCCAAATAGTGACTTGTGACATTACCTATTCGAGTAGTTTGGTGCGATCTTCATCGCGTACGCTCACCATGCCTGCTCCTACTACACCTGCGCTTCCCACACTATGCCATCAATTAGGCTTGACACATGATAGCATGTGATCGCCCTAGTTAGGCTTCGTCCACACCGATCGCCTTACACTGCGTTAAACACTGCGTTAAATCTGGGACTTATCAAACGAGTCCCTGGGCCCTCCGGCTATTCCGGGTACGTCCCGTGCGAGCGCTTGGCCCCTGCTAGCGAGGCAGGGCGCCCGATGCCATCAGGTCCCGTGATGGACGTCCCGTATGGTTCCTCGCCGGATATGGCAGTGCCTCCGGCCTCGCCACATCATCAGGCGCGCTCGCCGTCAGCGCGCTCCCGCCACCCGCCCCTTTCCCGTTATAGACAGCCCACACGTGACTGCCCATTTCGGTTCTCTGCTGGCGCTCCCGCGTGATCCCGGATCGGAGCCCGGCGCTCCGCAACGTGATCGCTGGCCCGTGCGCACCGTGCTCGCCGGCGCTTCCCCTCTCCTTCCTGCTCACCGCCTCCACCGCCGTGCTCGCCGGCGCTTCCCCTCTCCTCCCTGCTTACCGTCTACACCGTCGTGCTCGCCGGCGCTTCCTCTCCCCTTGCTTGCTCACCGCTTTCACTGCCGCGCTCGCTGCTCGCCGTGCCCGCTCATCGTCGACACCGTCGTTGTCGTGCTCGCTGGCGCCTTCCGTCCCCCGCTTGCTCACTGCCCCTTGCACCGCGCTCGCTGTACTGGCCCCTCCCCGGCCTGGTGCCACGTGTGCTGTGCCAGCCGGCGCCCCCGTCGTCGTGCCAGCTCATCACGCCTGCCGTCGTGCTCGCTGGCACCCTTGGTCTCGCCCAGTGCCGCCTCCCCGCTGCCGTGTACGTCTCGCCTCTCCGCCTCACCTTCTCTCAGGATTCGACGCCCCGCTGTCCGCGCCGCATCTATCAACCAGCACGGTGCTCGGTCGACAACGTTCCCCGGTAGCACCATCACGCGTCGCGCTTGCCAGTCCCCTTGCTATCCTTACGACTCGTCGCCATGTACGTATCCGTTTCTGCTCTTCCCTACCCCGCATCGTCGTGGTTGACATGACAAGCTTCTTGCCCTGCAGGCAAGTGTTCGTCACAGCCTGTAGACGGGAGCTTGTGGCGTCTCCGCTTCGCTCTGCCCTTGGTCTCGACACCTCATTTCTGCCATGAATAAGAAGAGGAAGACCGGGCTGTCGAAGGCGATCAAAGTCACCTATGGCTCTCCCTTCGGGAGAACTGAAACCACGACTCGGCTCCGCTTAGGCAGCTCTGGCGTACGCCGCGAGCAAAGGGAAAGGGAACAGCGGGAGACAGTTGTCGGTACGTCTTTGCTGTGTATACCCTTCTGAGTGCTCATTTCAACAATCAGGCATGTGTCTCGATGATCGGGAGGTGTACAGACACCTCGTCACAGAGTCGAACGAGGAGCCTTCTGTGGAGGAGGATTGGGTGGATATCATACCCCCGGGCGAGGAAGGCACGGTATTGAGTGGTGAGGATGAGCTCTGCAGAACGATCTTCCTTGAAGATGGGGTGAAAAGGTGCGTCAGACTCCTGTCGAATCTCGACAACGTGTCAACATTCTTCGTGAAGGAAACGTAGGGACATTCGGTCGCGGAAGAATCGGGTCGCCATTCGCGAGAAGGAGTGGAGGGAGCAGCGAGATGACCTGGTTGAAGGGTATCTTGCTTGGAGAGCAGGCGACGTGGTGGATGCACGACCTGAGCATCGTGCATGGCCGCTTTGGGCTATTGATTTCTTTGGTATGTTCCTCGTGTTCTGTGTTGGTTTCTTGCCATGATATCAGATACAGGGAGTGAGTCGAAGACGTTTGTGGCCTGTGGCGTCGACATGCGCATCAACCCCACGCTCACTCGGTACGGCTACATTGGTACAGCACCCCTCGAACCCTCCGTCGCGATCTCCTTCCATGTCCTTGAGGCCTTCCGCGCCCAGCATCATGCCTGCCCTCGATTCAGCATCCAGGCGCAGGTGAAAGCCCTCTGCCGCCTGCAGGCTGTAAGTCATACGTTTCTTTTGGAACATGTCATTGATCACTATCCCTTTAGGTTCCATACAAGCCCTATCTCTGTACACAATTCCGTATTGCCTACGACGTCTATCTCGACATTCTATATCGCGTCGACAGCCTCATCAACACAGCGCTTGGGCACGACCTCCCGGATTGGCGCATGCGGCATGCCTGTGCACCCTGCCTCTATGTGCTCGAGGGCGAAGATCCATTGACCCCAGCTCTCCTCGCCACCATGGACGGTAACCAGTCCCTCAAGCTCGTCGATGACGCGTTCCGCCCTGGCACAACACGTGAGGATCCCCGCACCGCGCGCACAGACCTCTGGCTATCCCCAGAAGAGGTTGACGTCTACAAGGATGATGTCCATTCGAGCCGAGTACGTCATCAAACATTTGATAGATGACGTGGTGATTGATCCGACCAGGGGCCGCCGAAGCCTGCCACATCAGTGCCTGGCGATGCCGGCCCATCGTCCTCCAACAGTACCCAAGGCGCGGCTGCTCCACAAGACGATGACATGGACTGGCTCAACGTCAATCAAGGCGACGTTCTCGCCGAGCCCGTCACTGTCTGCATGGAACGCTGGCGCAACGCTGGCCCCGAGGCGCGAAAGAAGATGTTCGCGCTGTTCTCCATCACTGGGATCTTCGTGGCCGTTTGCCGACATGGCCAGCTTCTGATCATGTGCGACATGATCCGAAGCGGTGAGCTGTACGTTTCTGACATCATTCTAGTATAGCTACTGATTGATCTGATCGTTGCTTGCAGCATGAAATATCCGCTCGCCATCGTCGCGAAGATGATCGACGTATACGGCAACGACATCAAACTCGGCTATGACATAGCATGCGCGTTCGCGAAGACTGTGGAGACAAGCTCCATTGGCGCAAAGGCGTGGGCGGCGCGCTTCTCGGGCGTCGTAGCCGCCTTCCATGGCTATAGCCACAACAGGGGATGCCAACTGGACTGGCATCCTCTGTATACGGAAGGCGTCGGTAAGGAAGACTTCGAAGGTTGTGAACGCCTGTTTTCTGAATCCAATGCGCTTGCTGCGGGTACGCGGCTTTCGACTGCCTTCCACCGCCATCAAGCAATTGAGGAGTTTTTCGGGCACTGGGCTGAGCGAAAACATGTAGAATCGGGTGAGTACTACATACTTGTCTCTGGCGTTGCTGACCAATTCAGCCTCGTTCATCTGGAACAACTACCGGCAAGCTCTAGAAATCATTCGTCTCGATGGTGAGGTCGTCCGAGTGCTGTCAGATGAACTACGAGCAGGACCAGCCGAATACGAGAACTATGTTGCAGAAGAGCGCGCGTATCTACGTGGCCTGAAGGCGGAACCATTGTCGGTCAGCCGTCGGATCGATTACCTGGAGGTATTGCTGAAGTTAGAGAATGCCTGGTAAGTGTCATCTTCGAGATCCTACCTGCACTCACTTCTGTTTGCAGGCAAAAATTGCAAGCTGCGAAGACAGAATACGTCTGTGCTGAACACATGAAGCGCATCGGTGCCGCAAACCCCAACGAAACAACCATTCTATCACTCTACTCAAGCGCGTTCGGGCGTTGGAAAGCCCTTGACGAAGAAGCACGAATCATCGAGCTTGAGCTCGAGCTTGCCGACCGTTGGCAGCCAGCAGACGCGATATACAGGCAGTACCTCGGTGAGCTCGATCGACGGAAATACAGGTGCGCGCTCGACAACCTCGAGCGCCTGGTCGTGCAGCGTCTCCTTGAGCTCACGAAGCTGGGAATGAGTGGCACAGGTGAGTACTCAGTACTACTCACAGTTCGCGGCCACTTGTATTCTCATGCATTCACAGGGTACAAGATGCGCGAGAAGATTGGGAAGGCACTGAAGACCCGCGCAGAAGCAGTCCGAAAAGCTCTCACCGAGTACAATCGCCGCGCCGCCCAGCTCGTCCCGCCACGGCCGTCGCTGACATGGTCCGAGGTGATGGAAATGACAACGTTATCGGAGTTCGACCTGCTACGAGACGCACGTCAAGATATCCGACAGCTCCCATGGGCTCGCAGAGCAAATCGCAAAGCCATGACAGCGTACTTCAATGTCAAACGAGCGGGCGAAGAAATCAAACGTCTCAACGTGGAGATGGTACGGCTCTTTACCTTCATTATTGACGAGCACTACGACTTCTATCATGCCATCTCTCGCAACCTCATCTCGAGGCCGGAACTCGCTCACGAACTCTCGACAAGGTGGCTTTACCGCAATCAGGTAAACGAAACGATCGCGCACCGTCTCTACAAGGTCACGCAGCTCCCAGGTTACACTGGGAATCTGCTGCACGGTCGCCGTCCAGGTCGCGACCTGGCGTCTTCGTTTGGGTTGCCTCTCCCGACGTGGGCAGCATGGAGCAATGGTGCCACTCTACTACCGCGCGACGAGGCTCGCACTGACGACGACGAGAGTGACGATGACGAGGATGTACCAGGGATGGAGGGTGAACAAGAGGCTGCACAATTCCTTACGTTCGTAGATAATCTCGGAGCACAATCGGCAGACGTTACAGAGAGTGCGGCGGAACTTCTCGATTAGCATGTATACACGAACGAACTTGAACAAACGAATGTAATGCCATTTTTCGATTGCTACATTAGTGGGATTCCCTACTTCAAGGAAATGCAGCCCTACTTCTAGGAAATGCAGAGGACGTTGCACGGAATTTGCGGCCACGGAAGGAGGCATTTGACGAAACCGTTATGCGCTGCACGTACGGTGCGTGCAGTCATGCAGGCATAATTGCGTTCACCGCGCGCCAGCCACACTTGCGCTCTCACCATATCGCACTCGCACCGCTCTCATCACTCGTGCTCTCACCGCATCATCTCGCTCACTCCTACTCTTCTGCAGTCACTACTCAAACTCTGCCACTCTCGGCTTCCGTCTCATGGTTAAAACCTATCGCGCAATGAGCAGAGCAGTTGCTCTCCCATTCGAGCAATGCTCGTTCAACCCACTTGGCATTCGATCTGTGCGTACTCACTGGGGGCGCGACGACAACTACCGCAAGAACCACGATAAGTTCGACAAGATGGACATGCTATACTTCATCATCGACTGCCACAAGGACGGCAAGCACGTTCCCCCTCGCGGGGAGTTCCACAAACTCTTCTTCACCGCGCGGGAGCACAATACGTCGGACTCGGAGGGGTATGTGGAGAAAATGGCATTTAGGATTATGTTCGAGGAGATCGTATATGACGTGGTGCGTGGCTTGATTCTCACAAGTATATAGAGTGCTCACTCGTTGCTGTTCCTGCAGCTGACAGCATGGGATCGGTTCACCGGTGGTGCCACTGTCATGATGCATGTCAACGCCAATGTTCCACCAAACACGGTCCTGCACGTCCAGAACGTCAAGATCCATGCGTACGTTCCTCCTCCTCTCGTCGTCGAAGATCGACAAGCAAGATACTCTATCGCGCGCATGGCACAAGAGTTCGCGAAGGGAATCGGTATCCCTGCTATCCGTCGATTTCACTCTGCCTACAACACATCCGTCAAGTCGCGTGCTCTCGTCGAGCACCCCGAAGGTCCGTTCGCATCGACACCTCACCACGGTGTTCGCTCCGCCTCTCGGACGCCCCTCATCCCACCTCCTTTGCACAAAACGACCCAGTACATGTTCTATGGACGTCCGGATGGCGAGGTTGAGGATATGATCACGGCCGAGGAGGAGAAGCACCAGCCCCGCACGACGAACCTATTGCCTCTCTACGAGAGTGATCGCGCCTCGTCGGAAGGGCCGGGATCAGTGCCGGAGGGTGACGCCCCTCCATCGGAAGGGAGTGTGGCCTCGGACAGCGACGACACCCTCGACGAGAGCGACGAACTTCGCACTCGCGAGCAGGAACACCTGCTGGAGATCCGGCTCCTGAAGGAGAAGCTCGAGAAGCTCGAGCGGCGCAGCGGCATTCAATTCGTCGAGCTGTCGCGCCGCAGTGAGGAGCTGGAGATCCTCAGGCTCCAGCTTGGTGAGTGGCCACCAGTCCCCTCGACTCTAACACTAATTGGCTGTAATAGCTCTCGCACGCAACCCGACGCCTGTACCGGTGGCGCTCGCTGACTCGGAGACCTCTGGGGCGCGGGCGCAGACTGCTATCTCCGATACCATGCCGTCTGTCTCGTCCGTCTCGTCCGTCTCGTCCATCTCGAGTCCCGCCGCGCGCCCCACAGACGTATGGTGACGATGTTCCGCCTAGTCAGCGAGTCCCTCTCTTCAGGCGACCGGCTTCTCCACGTCACTCTGTACACGCTCCGCTTGTGCCTTTCGGCGAGCACTCCAAGAAGGCCCTTGCCGAGTTTGGTCTTCCCGACAATTGGCACGAGACTTTTTGGAAGCTCGAACGCAACTCCCTTCCTGAAAACTATGCTCACGAGATCAACCTTCATGGTCTTCACATGGAGGTGGCGAGGGAGCTGGCGGCTGTGATGAAGAAGGACCAGGCACTTTGAGCTTCGTGCTAAGTCGATATACCAATCTTGCTTTCTGAACGTCGTACATCTGTCTACTGCTCTGCTGTATATCACTTTGTAAAATCTGTCTGTTGAATTCTGTCACGTGCACCTATATGATTTCCCTCACGTGTTGTCCCATTGCCGACGTAGCAATTATCAATGCCAGCTCAGCCTGTCTTGACATTCCCCATACCCTCTGGATTTTTTTTCTGTTCCTCTCGTCTTCTGCTCACTGTGTTGAGCACGCCCAACCATTCATTTAACAGTAAGTCGTTGAAATTCGTGATTGGCTTGAGAGTGTCACTTGACGTGTTCTGCAGCTTCTCGAATTCGGACCACATGCCCACTGAGGTCACTTATGGCCCGCAGGCAGCTATCGCCGCGAGGCCGATTGCTCCCACGACCAGGAAGCCCCCGAACCACGACTCCGCCACTCTCCGCGCGATGCAGGCAGCTTCAAGAGCTAAGTCGGAGGCGATTGATGCCGACATTCAGAAATGGTATGACAGCTCGGAGGCATACGCTCACGAGCTTGCAGCAAAGTATGACAAGGATGCCCAGCATTTCCTTGGCCTTATGTTCTCCGGTGGCCTGAAGAAGCAAAAAAATCGAAAACCGAACGCGTACAATGGCTGGCAACGTCGACTCATGATGGAGGCCAATAAAGGTAATGTACACATGAATCGACGGAATTCTATCAGTCTAACTACTTACTACAGGTGCTCAGCCTGGAGATCGCGTGGGACTCATCGAGACGTCTACCGAGTATCGAGACTCATATCACAAACTTTCCGACGAGACGAAGGAGGAGCTTAAGGAAGAGGTTCAGGATGCAAGGGAGTCGCGGCAGATGGGTTTCCGGTTGAATCAGCGTGGGCGGTTGGCAGACGCGAACAACGTCTGGAAACAGATCACTGAATTGGTGCGCAACATTAATCTTCGCTCGAGTCACATTTGTATTAATGATGAATACCCAGTTGAAAGGTTTGAAGGCACGCGTCGGGATTGAGGCCATGGTGCTCATGGTCCGTAACAACCACGAGTTCACTATGGACCCGCGATGGTACATCACGGCGTCGCAAATCGACGATTATCTTGGTACCAACTTCAAGGGATGGGACCTAGAGAAGATTGGAGCACTGGTGGAGGCTTTCTCGGTTGCAGGCTGCGATTTCATGTGTGAGTACGTGTTTTGCTTATGTCTCTTCAACTAACCATGACATCGATCACATAGCCTTCTATCGCACTGCTCGAGAGAAGGCCGAGCATCTCAAGAAGCTCATAAGGCAGAAGATCCTTGAAGGCTTAGGTATGTTCAAATGCACCCTACAAGTTTTATGCTGACAGCTCTGCAGCCACGATCACTGGTGAATCGAACATCCAAATGAATTACATCAACTATGAGCAGGAGATCATCTTCCGTCGCGGCGTCATTCTTCGTGGTTGGCTCCTCAGCGAGTTCAAGAACCCATCTGAGCTCAGCACCAGCATTCCCCCTCTCAAAGCACAGTGGCAAGCCCTTCAGTCGGGTGCCTGTCGTTGGGAGAAGACCACCCCCGAAGAGCGTGAGAAGCTCAAGGCATCCTTCGCCGAGAAGCTTGCGGGCGGGCAGGTCAAAAAGCGGAAGGAGCGCTCGGACAAGGGAAAGAAGCACGCGCGGCCCAAGAAGTCGAGGGCCAAGGGCAAGGGCAAGGAGGCGGCGACGGCGGCGGCAGTGGCGACGGCGGGCGGTGATGTGGAGAAGGAGAGCAGTGACGACGACGAGAGCGGAGACGACGGCGAGGGTCAATCACGCAAGCGTCGCCGTGTCGCAGAACCGAAGAGCGCTGAGTTCGTCCCCGACGATGCGGACGACTAGCATGTGTAAGACTCACCTCTCCGAATGTTGCTGTATGATCTCTCGTGTTCGCGCCATCGATGCTCATGCTATGTGGACCCAATCATGTCATTGTCTATCTACTTACAGGTCTACGAATTTAATACTACATATTTGTTTGACATAGGCAGGCAAGAAGGGGGCGAGCTCGACAGAAGGAAACCGGGAGGCAGGCAAGAAGGGGGCAAGGTCGACAGAATGGGAGTGGGGAAGGAAACGGGAAGAACACGGCGAGCATGACACTCACCATAGCGAGCTCGCTAAGTCGGGCACAGTACATAGGCGGCCGTGGCGGCGAAGGTGGTGACTCGGCGAGCAGAGGTCGTCAACCAACTCAGTGCACATGGCACTGAGCTGCAGCGGGACCGGCTCGGCGAGCACGGTGCTGAAGGCAGAGACATTAGCACAAAGACGACCAGAAGCGAGACAGACATACCCGGCAGCGAGGAGGCAGCACTGGGCGAGACCAAGGGTGCCAGCGAGCACGACGGCAGGCGTGATGAGCTGGCACGACGACGGGGGCGCCGGGTGGTACAGCACACGTGGCACCAGGCCGGGGAGGGACCAGTACAGCGAACGCGGTGCTAGGGCAGTGAGCAAGCGGGGACGGAAGGCGCCAGCGAGCACAACGACGACGGCGTCGGCAATGAGCTGGCACGACGACGGGCAGCGCCGGGCAGCGCGACGGGCGTAGCCGTGAGCTGTGGCAGGACGGGCACGGTGAGCAGCGAGCGTGGCAGTGGAAGCGGTGAGCAAGCAAGGGGAGAGGAAGCGCCGGCGAGCACGACGGTGTAGACGGTAAGCAGGGAGGAGAGGGGAAGCGCCGGCGAGCACGGCGGTGGAGGCGGTGAGCAGGAAGGAGAGGGGAAGCGCCGGCGAGCACGGTGCGCACGGGCCAGCGATCACGTTGCGGAGCGCCGGGCTCCGATCCGGGATCACGCGGGAGCGCCAGCAGAGAACCGAAATGGGCAGTCACGTGTGGGCTGTCTATAACGGGAAAGGGGCGGGTGGCGGGAGCGCGCTGACGGCGAGCGCGCCTGATGATGTGGCGAGGCCGGAGGCACTGCCATATCCGGCGAGGAACCATACGGGACGTCCATCACGGGACCTGATGGCATCGGGCGCCCTGCCTCGCTAGCAGGGGCCAAGCGCTCGCACGGGACGTACCCGGAATAGCCGGAGGGCCCAGGGACTCGTTTGATAAGTCCCAGATTTAACGCAGTGTTTAACGCAGTGTAAGGCGATCGGTGTGGACGAAGCCTAACTAGGGCGATCACATGCTATCATGTGTCAAGCCTAATTGATGGCATAGTGTGGGAAGCGCAGGTGGCTCTCTCCTA